GAATGGTGATCTAAATGTTTTTTAAAATCGGAAAAAAAATTGTGACCTCTAGAGAATCCACAAGCTAAAAATGATATTTTTCGACCAATCAGGGGCCATAATCCAGGAAGTTACGATCCGATATGCACGAATATCAAAAGGAACCAAGATCTTTGGGTTATAAACATACATTTCAAGTTTCATCTAAATCGGATCAAAATTGTGACCTCTAGAGTGTCCACACGCTAAAAACACGATTTTTTGTACAACCAAGTTCATTGTGTTAAAGACATGCATTTCAAGTTTCATCAAAATCAGCACAGAATTATGACCTCTACGGGGTCCACAACCTTGATGTACCATATTTTTACACTCTTCGCATAAAAGCGGTGGCCATTTTATCAGGCAGTTTTGGTCCGATTTTCACAAAATTCGAACTCAACCTTTATTAAGCCGTAACGGTGATATAATCAAACGTTTTTTTTAAATCGGATAAAAATTGTGACCTCCCGAGGGACCACAAGCTAAAAGATAGGTTGCCAGGCAACAAAACATATGCCCACAGCAGCTAAATCGTCCGAGCAGTCGACAAGGGTTGTCACATATTTAATCTTTTGTAGGTAATTAGGGGAATTTATAGACAATTTCATACAGATGACATTATAATTTTCGTCGTTTGAAGGTTCACAAGGTTCTAAAAACTAAAAGAAGGGCTGTAACTCTGGAAGCAATCTACAGAAATTGTTCAAATTCGACAGGCTTTTTCGTTTTACTAATTCAAATAATGCATATAAATTTCATACAAATCTCTAGATGTAATTGACGGAAATTGCTGACATTCAATAGGCTTGTTCGTCTTCATTTCACTAATTTAGGTGATAACTGAAACTCAATAGGCTTGTTCGTTTTACTAATTTAGATGATACATATAAATTTCATACAGATCGGATATTAACTTTTGTCGTTAGAGCATTTACACGGTACAACAAAGTGAAACAAGGGCCATAACTCGCGGCATAATAAATGGAAATTGATGAAATTCAATAGGCTTCTTCGTTTCACTAATTTAAATGATGCATATCAATTTCAAGCAGATCGGATGATAACTGTTGTCATTAGAGCGTTCACAAGATTCAATAAAGTGAAACAAGGGCCATAACTCTAGATGTAATTAACGGAAATTGCTGAAATTCAATAGGCTTCTTTGTTTTACTAATTTAAATGATGCATATAAATTTCATACAGATCGGTTGATATTTTTGTCGTTCACAAGTTGCAACAAAGTGAAACAAGGGCCATAACTCTAGAAGAAATTAACAGAAGCTATTGAAATTAAATAGGCTTCTTCATCTCACTAATGCAAACAACATATATCAATTTCAAAACAATCAGATGATAAATGTAGTCTGTAGACGGAAGGGGGCGTATAAAAAGGCTATTTTTTGTACAACTGGGGGCCATAATTCAGGAGGTTACGATCTGAAATGTGCAAATATCAACAGGAACCAAGATCTTTGGGTTATAAACATGCATTTCAAGTTTCCTCAAAATTGTGACCTCTACAGGGTCCACAACCTTGATATACCATATTCTTACACTATTCGCATACAATTCGAACTAAACCCTATTACGGCGTAACGGTGATATAATCAAAAGTTTTTTTAAATCGGATAGAAATTATGACCTCTATAGGGTCCACAAGCTAAAATCGCAATTTTTCGTACAATCAGGGGCCATAATTCAGGAAGTTACATTCCGATATGCGCGAATATCGAAAGGAACCAAGATCTTTGGGTTATAAACTTACATTTCAAGTTTCATCAAAATAGGATTAAAATTGTGACCTCTATAGGGTCCACAACCTTGATATACCATATTTTTACACTATTTGAGAACGAAGAGCGGCCATTTTGTCTATCAGTTTTGGGCCGAAATTCGAACTCAGCCGTCTTTAGGGTGTAAAGGTGATATAATAGTACGTTTTTTTAAATCGGATAAAAATTATGACCTCTATAGGGTCCACAAGCTAAAAAGGCGATTTTTCGTACAATCAGGGGCCATAATTCAGGAAGTTATGGTCTGATATGCTTGTGGTCCCTTCAGAGGTCACAATTATAATCTGATTTAAAAAAACGTTTGATTATATCAACTTTAAACCGTATTGAAGGCTGAGTTCGAATTTCGTGAAAATGTGACCAAAACTGCTGGACAAAATGGTCGCTGCTTGTACACGAATAGTGTAAAAATATGGTATTTCAAGGTTGTGGACCCTGTAGAGGTCACAATTTTAATCCGATTTTGATGAAGCTTGAAATGCATGTTTATAACCCAAAGATCTTGGTTCCTTTCGATATTTGCACATATCGAATCGTAACTTCCTGAATTATGGCTCCTGATTGTACGAAAAATCACCCTTTTTAGCTTGTGTTCCCTCTGGAGGTCACAATTATTATCCGATTTAAAAAAACCTACTATTATATCACCTTTACACCCTAAAGACGGCTGAGTTCGAATTTCGTGAAAATCGGCCCAAAACTGATAGACAAAATGGCCGCTCTTCGTTCTCAAATAGTGTAAAAATATGGTATATCAAGGTTGTAGACCCTATAGAGGTCACAATTTTAATCCTATTTTGATGAAACTTGAAATGTAAGTTTATAACCCAAAGATCTTGGTTCCTTTCGATATTCGCGCATATCGGAATGTAACTTCCTGAATTATGGCCCCTGATTGTACGAAAAATCGCGATTTTAGCTTGTGGACCCTATAGAGGTCATAATTTCTATCCGATTTAAAAAAACGTATTATTGTATCATTGTTACACCCTAAGGAAGACTGAGTTCGAATTTCGTGAAAATCGGTCCAAAACTGACAGACAAAATGGCCGCCGTTCGTTCTCAAATAGCGTAAAAATATGGTATATCAAGGTTGTAAACCCTATAGAGGTCACAATTTTTATCCGATTTTGTTGAAACTTGAAATGTAAGTTTATAACCCAAAGATCTTGGTTCCGTTTGATATTTGCGCATATCGAATTGTAATTTCCTGGATTATGGCCCTTGATTGTAGGAAAAATCACTTTCTTTTTAGCTTGTTCTCTATCCATCTCTCGAAAATGTGGGCGTATCCTGCCTGGCAGCCGCTGGTTTTATATTGCTGTGACAAATTACTAAGTACAATATGAAATTTTTTGTTATGTAAAATTTCTTAAGTAAACACATGTTGAGTATTATAAATAATACGTCCACATGAAAATGTGGGCGTATAAAAAACAAGCCAACAGTGAGGCTGATGTCCCCAGGCCGCAATCACAAAATAGATGACACATTAATTAATTGCACATTATCTTTTTGAAAGTGTCGGGCAATCAAACTGATTATCTATACTTATTCTAAGCATAAAATGTTCACCATTGAACTCAGTCAAGGTTTTGAAGTACCTGGTGATGTAACTCTACACTAAGTTTCATCATTTCCTTTCATCACCAGAAGGAAGCAAATTGATATAAGCCTACTTGGCTTGTTTTTGTATCCTATTCTTTATGCCTATATACTGTATAATATTCTCGAATTAAATATTGATTAAACCAAGTTATCTTGTCCCAAAGCACCGACCAATGAAATTGCTTAGATCTGCAGAAAATTCTCATCAAACTTAGTCAAGGTAACGATATAATGATGTTGATATAATGAATCTATACTCTGAGTTTCATCACTATCACTCAATTAGAACCAAAGTTATCATGTTCAGAAGTCTTAACTAATCTAATTGCTTATCTCTGCTAAGCCTTAATGGAAAATGTGCATGATCGAACACTGTCATGGCATTCACCAAATAAACACCTACACCAAGTTTGAACATTCTACCTCAATTAGAAGGCGCATTATTGTGTTTCAAAGACTCGACCAATCAGATTGAAGTCTCTACTTAGCCTAAGCAGAAAATGGTCAACTTAGTCAATGAAACTATTCACAAAGTTTCACCACTCTCAATTTGAATCAAAGTTATTGAGCTCCAAAGTCTTGAACAATCAAATTTCTAATCGCTCGGCTTACCCTGAAACTATACAATATCAAGGCATTCACGTAATAAACACCTACACCAATTAGAAGCTATACTTGATTGAGAACGATGAACATCAAAGCCTTGGAAGCAGTTTAATAATAAAGTTGTAGAAACAAACTAACCTGTAGTTTTATTTACGATCACAAAAATAAACACAAGGAAGTCTGATATTACTACATCTCTCTGCCACGTGTAAATTCCGCAGCCCACTTATTTACTGTGGAAAATGAAGGGGCATCATTCTCTAAAATGGAGACCATGTTGGCATGTATCTGTGTTGGGGTTAAGTTCTTTCAGTTGCAGGTACTTCATGACAGCCCTATAGCCAGTTTTGTCCATTTCTGGTGATTTCAATGGCTAGGTTCACAAGATGGTTTGGTACGAAGACAATAACACTACAGTTGCAGTTCTTATGTCTATGATTCATTCAATGATTGTACTTGTTGGTGGTGAAAGTTTGTTTCATCCCAATTGATCTATCTTTTTCAGGCTTAGAACTTTTCAGCCAGCCCTTGTAGATTGTTTATTACCGCAGCAACGCTACTTGTCAATTTTTAAATTAGATCATTAAATGGTGATCGCATTTTAATATGTTTACATCTGCACAATTCAATGTTCTAGAGAGTTGGTCACAGGCTTGTCATGTTAATAAATGTCTAAAATATCATTTGAAGCCAAAATAAAACCCTTTAATAGGCAGATTTAGCTCTTATATAAAGCATCTTTGAGCAGAAATTGTTTATCATCAAACTCAGTCAAGACATTCACCAAATAAACTTCTCCACCATGTTTGAATCAGAGTTATTGTTTCCTAAAAAGTGTAATATACAAACGGACGGAGAGACAGACAGGTAGTCCACCCATTTTAACGTCCCCTACTTTCCTTGCAAAGTGGAGGACAAAAAACAAAATGGAAAGATTGTCTGAAGCTACTTCCACTTTAATAAATTTACAAGTATTTTTCAGTTCGTTTTAATAAGTAGACTCAAGTTATAAACAAAACACAAAGAACATTTTATTACTATATATCGAATATCGTTATTAATATGTGATTCTCTCAAAGATATTTTGATTTAATTGTATTTATTAGAGAGAAAAACTGGTATATAATTAAAAATAGTTTTTCTGTTGCTATATTCTTTGACCTCCAGGGTGATTGATCATAATGCTAGATTCACAACTAATAGTTTCGTATTTAAAACCTCTTGAAAAGAAATAAATATTCCAAGATAATTCCAGTTTAGGCCTATATCCAAATGTGAGACCGGCTAAAGTCCAAGACAATGTGTTTCGGAAGTTTCTAAATAGAGAATGCTTCAATACATTCATTAACATATGAAGCCTTTTGACAACACCTTTGTGAGAATAACATGTTTAATTCAATTTTTAAACCTTAATTGCACCAATATATACAGATAAAAAGATAGGTTGCCAGGCAACAAACCATGCCTACAGCAGCCAAGTTGTCAGGGCAGTCAACAAGGGTTGTGACATATATTCTTTTCTTTTGTCAAAAATGAAAACATTTACAACACACTAAAATCTGATCATGAGTAACAACCCATTTGACTTCTAGTTCTGCCTTATACTAACATTTAGCATACAAAACATTTAATATCAATTGCAATAACCATCAGAGATTGTTGAAAATTGATAGGCTTCTTCATCTCATGACCTTAAACACTGTATAAATATAAAGTCAATCGGATATTAACTTTAGCCTCTAAAGCGTCCACAAGATTTTTCAAAGTGATCAAGGGCCATAATTCTGGCAGTAGTTATCAGAAATTGTTGAAAACAATGGGCTTCTTTGTCTCATGACCTTAAAACACTGTGTATACATTTAAAGTCAATCGGATATTATCTTTAGCCAAGAGAACATCCACAAGATATTTTGAAGTGATCAAGGGTCATAACTCTGGCAGTAATGATCGGAAATTGCTGAAAATCAATAGGCTTCTTCGTCTCATGACCTTAAACACTGTGTATAAATTTAAAGTTAATCGGATATTAACTTTGGCCTCTAGAGCATCCACAAGATATTTTGAAGTGCTTAAGGGCCATAACTCTGGCAGTAATTATCAGAAACCCCTAGCAATTGTAGATGCCAGACCGACGGACGGAAAGATCGACGGACGGGGTGACGACAATATATAATGACATTTCAATGTTGGCATATAAAAACGAAAGGTTCCTCACATAAAATAAATAACTATATGCAGTAGTATAGATAATTTCACAGTTATCAACATTGTGAACAAGATGTGTATAAACTATAATGACTATCTATGGTCACCATAATCTAAAATTTGGTTGAAATAGGAATTTACCTCCTTTGTGCCCGATGAAAGAAATATTTTGCAAATTGAACATCAATAACATAACAAAAAACGTTTAAAACAATAGAGGTTGGTAATAATGAATGAAAATAGACGTTCCATAAATTTTGATGAATTAACACCTGCAGAAAACTGACCAATAAAAAAGGACTAGAGTTGAGAACTGTGAAATGACCTATTACGAATTAACAACCCCCCCCCCCCCCCAAAACATCAATCTGAACAAATATCATATAGTGAAGTATAACAAAGATTCTGTCTGTACTAGTAGCTCTGTCTTTAATAATTTTGTTTAAAATTATATTTTGAAGTACTCCATAATATCGCATGTCTTGAGTCAATAATTATCTTTATATACATAATAAATACCTGTTCAGAATCATATCTCCCCATCAAGTTCTCAGCAGTTTATAATTAATAAGGGGTGTCCCAAAAGTCTAATACTTATATAACAATTCAACACACATCAATAATATTTTTCAAATAATTTTTTTTTCTACATCTGTTCCAGAATAGTACCACATTTGATTTTTAATAGATTTTTTTCATAAATTTCATCAGACACTTTATAGTGTGTAAGAAATACTTGTACATTTACTTTAAATAATTCCTGAATTGACAAAGTACCATGTCTGTATGATGTCAAATGTCAAATCAAGAAGGCAGTTGGTATAAATTCCTCATTGTCCTTCACTATCTACCTGCATTTTATCCCAAATAAACTGGTATATAGACTTGAAGACGGAATCCCTGCACACTTGAAAGACCTTTGTTATCAATTTTCTTTTCTAGAAAGTCTTGGTTTGTTAATAAATAATGCAATTTGTATGAAGTAATTCGCCCATTTAACTTAGAAAAAAAAAACTAGTTAATGAAATTTCATTCAAAAGATCATTTTTAAAGCAATTGTATAACTCATTAAATTAGCTGATGACTTTTTCCTATTTAAAAACATAATATTTTGTCAAGGTTACCAGTTGCTAAAGCTTTTCCAAAGGACAGCAATAGCTCATATTGGTGTTTATACATTGTTAAAAATACAAGAATTGATTTCATTTCATGTTATTGCTGATAATTTTGCATCTGACTGCCATCATCCCATGCTCAAACTTAAGTTAAATTTATTTCTTATAATAAAATATATAAAATATAGGCATTTATAATGCACTCAATATAATCCAAAACTAGATAAATGAATCCACGTTTGTTTGTTTTTTTTGAAAAATTTGCAAATAATAACCTGAACACCCTTAAATATTTTAAATATTCAAACCTATGAGACACCCTGTACAATATTAAAAGGGTAACTGTACAAAATTTACATTATTATTTACTTAAAGACAGCAATTTAATAAATAATATTCTTCAGAATTGTCTTAGCTTATTACAAGGAATCTGAGACATACAAAGAAGTAAAAATGTAACTAATGATTAATTCTTGCATTTTTGCTTATTATCTTGGAAAAAAAAGATAGATTGTCAGGCAATAATGAACATACGCCAACAGCAGCTAAATCATCCGGGCAGTCGACAAGGGTTGCCACATATTTATTTTTTGTAGGTAATGTGAGCATTTACAAGACAGATTGGATAATAACTTTACGATAGCCTTCTTAAATTTTATACAGATCAGATGATAACTTCTGTCGTTAAAGCATCCACAAGTTTCTACAATCTGATTAAATTACAGATCTATATTTCGTGGTTTTTTTATACTTTTGATGGCCTCTACTACATGAAATCTGACCAGTTGTAGTGGTAGGTCATACAAGCGACTATTGACCCTATGACGTCAGACATTGATTAATCAATCAGTGTTGGTGTTTCTAGTGGTTTACTCACAGTTCCGTGCACAGCACGCCAAGAACTAGCCATAACAGACCGTTTCATTTGCTAATTCCCCACATCAACCAGAAAGCTTGTTATATAACAACTCTTCCAGATCCTTGTAGTAAAGACAAGCAAAACGAAATTTTGAACTATAAAAAACGAAACGAAATAGTATCTGTGTTTTAATCAGATTGCAAGTTTCTACACAATGAAACAAGGATCATAACTCCAGAAGCTATTCGTGGAAATTGGAAATTCTATAGGCTTCTTTATTGTACTAATTCAAATAATGCATATAAATTAAATACAGATAAGTTGATAACTTTTCTCATTAGAGCGTTCACAAGATTGTACAAAGTGAAACAAGGGCTACAACTATAGAAGTAATTAATGGATATTGTTGAAATAAAATAGGCTTCTTCGTCTCACAAATGTAAACAACATATTTATAAATTTCAAAATGATTAGATGACAGACCGACGGATGGAAGCGATGACAATGTACAACCACATATCTGTGAGGGCGCATACAAAAGGATAAATTCTTGGAGATGAATTTAGGTTAAATTGTCCCTTCCTTCAAGACGTATTGAAACACAATATACATGTACCGGTATATGTAATTTTTCTTTAAGAAAGTTAGTTAAGTGGAACAGGGTATAGGACTATACCAAACAACATTACATTATCAATCACCATCCAATATAACAACTTTCTTATATGTTATCACATTCTTAGTTTAACGCAATATACATGTATAACAAAAACTACCTGGTAATTGTTTTCTCATTGTCGAAGAAACACATTAACAAACATTCTGAAATGTCTGTTAATAGATTTTGTTCTATTTAAGTTGCCATGAATCATTTACAAGGGCAGAAAGTCTATCTGTAAATATATTTCAAAACTATCATACACAATGTAAATAGGTGGTGAGGTGGTTCATAAATCTCTATGCAAAAGAACATTTTAAAAAAAAAACAGAATAAAAAAAAATCAAGTCTGTGAAAATACAGCAAAACTAAATATTGTTTAAGTGATGATTGACTTTGAGTTTCTTCCATCTAATGTAAGACAATTCATTCAATTTAATACATGTAAATTACATAACATGTATGAATATCTTACATACGTAACAGTAATTAAATAACCAACAAAATTTACATACAGATACTTATAGCAAATATAAACGCACATGTACATAGAAATATAATCTTTTTTGAACATTTTTGTGACCATATCGAAAGACACCTTAATACATGGAACAAACAGTTCCCGAGGATCACAAAATCCATACTTGTTTAAGCATAAGAAAGAATCAACAACTTTGGGCATCACAAAATTCAAACATTTACATATATAAACATAACATCCTTATGGATAAAGGAAATAACAAATCAGGTATTCACCGACATTACCTATTTACAAAACTCTTCAATAAGTTATGTTTCTATATCATATTTCTTATATGTAATGATAACTAATGAAAATAAATGAAAATGAATTAAATAAAAGGTAACATAGTCATGAACAATGCTGCTCATTTATGATAAACATTACAACATACAATAAACAATAGATTACAAGACCATCCAGGATAGTCTAAATGATCTCTAAAGATTGAAAATTACAAAAAATATGGAAATACCAAATACAGAGAATCATTTTTAGAGAGAGAGGTTTAATTTTGAAGCACATACTGATTTATGAATATGAGAGAATTGGGAGAAAAAACAAAAAGTTTCCAAGTTTTGAAAGAATATTATCAACTGAGTTCTTGTTCAGGGATGTATTTCCAACTGCTGATTCGGTTTATTTTTGTTCTTTATCAGGCCCTAAAATTTCAAAATTCTGCATACATTACAATTTCTTATTTTGTGTAACCAAACATTCAGTTCCACTAAATATGGTTAGGTAATTGTTGGGTTAAGCAGGGTAATGTTTGAAAGTCTTTCTTTTAGTGCAAAATGTATTGTCTCAATAAACTCAAATCAAGACTATAAATTGAAAGTAAAATGGAAAAGAATTACCATCAGTCTTGAATTTAATGAATTAAGCTAGCAAAAATTAATAAAGGGACATATACTCAAATTTTATGGCCTGCTTAAAAACTTCTGAGTTTACACTATGTTCAGCACTCATCAATGTTTGAGAATCAGAATACAGGAGATAATATACATGACATACTAACTAAAGAATGTTCCCTTTAATATTTACTTCACACAATTACTGGATATAACTTTATCTAAAAATTTCTCCAGTTCTTTTGGGTTTGTTAAAAAACTATCCAGACTAATAATAAGAGAAGGAAGCAATAATTGTAACAAACTAACAACTTTATCTCGAAACATATTCAAACATTGTTCCGGATTTTGACACAACTGTATTTTCGGTTCATAGATAGGAACTAACCCATTACTGTTTTTAAGATGAAGATCTTCAAACATGTCGACTACACCAAGTGTATCATTTTGTAATTCTTGGTCGTCTGATGTTTCAAGGGTTTGTAATATATCATCAATAATTTGTTGAAACTGTAGAGATTCGGGTGTGATGTTATTTAAAATGGGAACAAGTCTCGGAAACACAGAACAGAAAAGTAAATGTAATTTGTTCTGTATGTTTGAGAGTTGGACTGAAAATTGGATAAACTTTTGGTTTCTAGCTGACAAATTTTTAAAATCTGCCATATTGCACTTTAACGACTGTCTTCGCACACGCTTTGAAGCTTTATTTGAACAACACAAACAAGAGCTGTTCCTTCTTGGACGAGTCCTTTTCTTTCGCTCTAAATGGCTTACATTAGTTTCCTCAATGTCATCTTCATTGTACACAAAGTCCGGATCATGATTATTGTGAATCTCAGAATAATTACGCTTTCTCTTTCCTGAACGTTTTCTTTCCCTACCACTTGATTTAACTTTGTTACCAAATTGGCTAGTTAAATGTTGTGACACAATCTCTGTAAAGTCTGTTTCACTTTCTGTACAAACCGTATGACGTCTCGATTTTGAGTTTCGATCTTTTGATTCTTTAGTCTTGGGTTCGGTGGTATGTTCACAAGTACAGCTACATGTCATATCACAGTTCCCACATTCTAATTTTGAAGAACTAATCCGACTCATATTGTGTCCATCTGATCTATCAGGCGGACAAGCTTCTATTGATACCCTCGCTACAGTCTCTATATGATCAGTGTAATGGTTGTCAAAAGTATTTGTGGTCGAAGCTATAGAATCGTACATGGGAGAAACACTAGAATCAGTTAAACAACTTTCACCAACTGAAGCATTAGCTGGTGATGAAATGACACTTTTAGCTGCCTCTGGACTGTTTCGAGAAAGACCCTCACCTTGGGCACAAAAATAATGACTATCACACTCTGTTTTGTTGACAACAGGGTCCTTACTTAATAACTGGTTATATTTGATATCTTTAGATAATGACTTAGATACAGATAACTTTTCAACTGAACTAGACGTTAGTTTACGTTTACGCGCAGGATACTGTAAACCATACTTTTTTAACACTATCTGTGCTTGATAAGTACATTTTAGTCGAGAATTTGGAGTTTGTGTTTTCTTTGAGTTAATAAATGGTACTTTTACTGGGAAAAGGGCCTTTTTTGTTCCCTCTGAACTTGTACAATTGCCAATAAGTCTTTTCTCTATTTCTTCATTGAAGTAATTGCTATGAGTAGAATTGAAGGGATTTGATTTAGAGAGCACTTGACTTGAATACGAGTCTAATTTCACTACATGAGTATTTGGGCTCCTGATATATCTCTTTAGAGAAAATGGAGAAAGACTTTCAGGAGGAACATAATCAGGGTCTACCATAAGTTTAAGTTTTGGGATGGGTTTGTGGCCAGATTTTTCTCCAGAACTACCATCATTCTCATTTTTTTTGTTTCTTACTTTAGACTTTGGAACATCATCTGATAACTTGTCATCTGTTTCACTTTCAGATTCATATGAATCCTCATCATCATCAGTATTGTTGTTTTTGTCTAAATAAGACCCTGGTTGCTGACTCTGAATAAATGCTTTAAACGCATTTTCAAATCCATCTGCCATCTTCGTTTTCCAATTAAAACCTAAGCATTATTTAGTAAACTGGATAACTTGACCTGTAATAAATAGAGAATAAATAATAACCCTATATAGTTACATTTATAAGCCCTATAAATGTAAAACTTTCAAAGAGGGTCCAAACAATGGTATGCTGGAAAAAGTAAAAACTGTGGGAAATCCATGTTAAAGACAGCCCGGGGACCCTTTTCACATGTTACTATTTTCAGAATAAACTAGGAGTTATATCTCACATGTTACAAAAAAAGCAAAAAATGGATGAAATTTTTCAACTGTAATATGAACCCTATAATAATAGGGTTATTATGTGCAATAAAAAATTGTACATACAACTGTAACCCTTAAAGATCGAAATGAAAATGATGAAAGGCCTATATTAAGACAAAAGTATGGTACAAAAGTACAACCAATATGCTAACATAGAAAAACTTGCATAAGTTCCTTTCCATTCCATTTGACCCACAAATTGTCTAAGGTCCTCATCACGTGCTTACACGTTCAAATACATGGTCATACTCATTGAATATTTTAATGGCTACTCTTGGGACTGATTTCATGTCTTCCTTAAAATGCAATATTTCTTAGGGAACAGAAAAAGTAAAATTATAGACTGCAAATTGTCGAATAATTACACAAATAGCGCCAATACAAATATTTGGTCATTGAATTGAATAGCTTTTCAAGGCTACTGAAACTGATTTTTTTTTTTTTATATTTGTTCAGCATCAATTCAAATTAATGGAATTTAATCCATGTTCGTCTCCTATAGACCACTTTCTGATATCCGTTCCACTATCTTGAATTACAGAAGTCAAAGTTCAATTGGAGCAAACAAGACGTCAATATCAACTTTCGAAGAAATACACACAGGTTACAATTCTATGGAATATAATTACTGTTTATTACTGAGCAACATCTCCAGTTCAATTAGGTAATACCATTAAAACAATATAATATTTAAAGAATGTCAAAGTCAAGAAATCTGTATTTTTAGGCCTACCTCACGTAAGAAAACAATGTATAATTTCAGAGACACAGTACAGTATATTCATAAGATTTTCCTGCTCATCCAGGCCGTGGGTACAGCAATTAGAAAGTTGTCTAATATAACCGTATTTAAGTGGTTTTGAACTAAGCCTTGGCCTGCAAAGCGGGTCACCTGCGAGTGCGGAAACAAAAAATAATGATGCCCAAAAATATATTGCTCAGGGTGGCACTAGAAGCCATTTATTACACTGATTTTAAATGTTTTAAATTCTAATCCATTAGTCAAATAAAGGAAATAACGATTCCTGAAAAAAATGATGAAAAAATAGACTTAATTGACTGATGCCGTAAAATTTGCACAAAGCAGCTGCAGACAAAATCTTTTAATCAATGTAGTAAAGTCAGTACCAATTTGCCATCTTCAATTAAAAGAAAGGAAAAAATAGTGTTTTACCATCACGTAAAAGTCACTGGATTTGGGGCAAGACATTGTATAAAAAAAAATTAAATTTGGTACGTTTTTTTCTCTCTCACTTTACCCGTCTGCCTGAAACCTCGGCTCATATGCCAACAGGTATGTTGGCTTTCTTTAAAATAAGACTATATATATTATCTTTGATGATTTCTTCACTGGACTTCACCTAAAGCCAGGCTGACACTTGCACGACTTTTGGCCACGATTTTGTCGTGGCAAGTCGTGCCATTTTGGGGCACGAACTGGGAGGCTCCCGCACTGTTCATGACTAGTTCACGCATAGTTCACGAATGCGTGCCCATCAGTGTCCACATTGACACGAACTGGCACGACGAGTTCACGCATAGTTTGTGCATTGTTTACGCACTTCCCGCATTGGCACGACGAGTTTGCGCAATTCGGACAGTGTCGTGCCGACTTGGGCACGCCATATAAAAAGGGGCCTCCCCAACCCCTGGTCATTTTTGGATTGGCTGTGGAAGAGACAACATGCTGAATGTCTGAGACACAATCATTGCAGGGAAGAGAAGATGCCTATACCTGGCAGCTGCTCTAGCCATTGTTCAAGAGCAGCAGAAAAGGCTGGAAGAGGCAGAAGAGCAAGAAAAAAAGGCAACCCCACCTCAAGAAAGACACAAAGGAAAGTGTGGGTCAGGGAATGGTTGACCAGAAGGCAAGAGTTTGGACAGTATGACAGTTTACTGACTGAACTCCACAAGGAAGATAAAAGGGGCTACCTCAGAATCACACCTGACCTGTTCCAAGAGATGGTTGAGAAGTAAACCCCTTGCCTCCAGAAGCAGTCCACCTTCATGAGGGAACCGCTTCAAGTTTGGCTCAAGCTAGCTGTCACCCTCCGCTTCCTAGCCACTGGAAATTCCTATCCAAGTCTGCAGTACAGCTTCAGGGTTGAAGCAAGTACCATCTGCAAGTTCATACCCGAGGTGTGTAAAGCCATCATCGCGGTCTACAAGGACGAAGTGCTGCGCTGTACCAAAACTGAAGAGGAGTGGAAGGAAGTTACTGCCCGGTTCAGCTCCAGATGGAACTACCACAACTGTCTGGGTGCTGTGGACAGCAAGCACATCGCCATGAAGAAGCCACCCAATGCTGGCTCTTACTACTACAACTACAAGGGCTTCCACAGCATTGTTCTGATGGCAGTGGCAGATGCTACCTACAATTTCCTCTATGTGGATGTTGGGGCAGAGGGTGGTGCGTCTGATGGAGGAACATGGAGTGACTGTTCCCTGCATGATGTTGTAGAAGAGAACAGCTGGAGTGCCTCAACCAGAACCACTCTCTAATGATATGGATGACTGGGGGGAATGATCTCTGGCCTTCTCTGCTTTGCTCTTCCTCGTGTCTGCTTTGTTTTAGGCATGTTGTCTCTGTGATAAGTTGTCTCTTCGCTGGCGATCTCTGGAATGGCGAGCAGTGTCCAGGAAGCCCTATATATACACCTGCACCGACGCGAACGCCACTGTCGCGCAGTAGTCGTGAACTATTCGTGGCAGTTCGTGACAGTCTAGCATGGCGCGCACTGCCACACATCCTCACGCATCGTCCCGACGAGTTCATGAACAGTTTGCGCATAGTTCACGACCCAGTCGCTAAATTTTGTCGTGACCAAAATTTTGAACATTTCAAAATTCTCGTCCCAACATGGCACGCAGTCACGATGGGTTTATGCACACTTCACGCCAGTTTATGACTAGTTTGCACACTGGCACGTCTCGAGTCGTGCCAATGCGTGCCACGGAATCATGCAAGTGTCAGCCTTGCTTAACTCTTGTAATTTCAAAACTGATGCACAAAACCATGCACATAAAAATGTTTTTCATGAATCACCTTTCCACGCTAAAAAGTAAGTCAAATCCATATGTAATAAGTAAATATATAAAGGTAAAAAAGTCAAATATAACAGAGCCCAGAAAGTATAAATCCTTGTATAAATTCTATGAAAGAATTATAAAGTCAGTAGGGTGGTCATGTTGTTTCAGTCAGTTTACTCTGATTGACCTTTGACCTACGTCAAATCTAACTGGCGACGTTTAGTGCTTAATCATGTGTACATGTAGATTAGATTTAATATACAAATCCAAAGATTAAATACCAATTTGAAACATGAAATTTCTAGAAATCTGAAAATGCACTAAATTGTTCCTGATCAGTAGACTTCATCATTTACGATAGATGAGTAATAAAGGTTTTAGTTTTAACAAACGGAAGTGACAAACACAAAAGGAAAACACTAGGTATCCTTCTCTATATACATGTAACTGACTGAGGTGACGAGTGATAACAGATACACAAGCGAATCATAATTCCTTCGAAGACCAAAAGTTGTTATATGAGACTGTGAGAGGATATCTGACAATTCAAAACAGAAATTGACTGTCACTAGAAAAGAGAAAACGAAAAAATATAGAAAAAGTCTGTGCATGACCATGTTTTTATTAAGTATAGAATGAATAAACACATGTGAATGTACGGACTGTTTCTATTTTTCTCGTGTTCTCTTATCAAGTGACATTCAATTACTATTTTTGAATTTCACATGTCAACTTTTGTTTTTTGAAGGAATTGTTAGTGAGCAGAAATTCGCCCATGTATCTGTTATCACTCGTCACTTCGGTCAGTTATATAGAAGGATAACTCATGTTTTCCTTTTGTGTTTGTCGCCTCCTTTGGTATAAACATTAATTACGCATCTATCGTAGCAATGATCTCAGTGTTAAAAATATATTTGGATTGTGTTTAACCAGCTCTATCACATACATGTGATAATGACTGACACCAATATTGTCCTTTAAAGGAGCTAAGTCTCTAACTCAATATTATCCAAAATCTTCAACATTGAAAACACGATTTATTTGTCAAATTAAATAAACATTCATGTTGTGATCTTACCGGAAAAAAATGGGCTTTTGATATCCAATATTTAAGACAAAATAAACATTTTACCATTGGTACACGAATCGTGTACCATAATGCGCTTCAGCCCCAGATGTATCAAGAAACTCGAGGGACGAGGCTAGACACATTGCACCAAATCAAACGGCGTATGTAGACTGGAATAACCAGACGCTAGAAATTTGCACTCGCTTGAGACTGCTGGCTTATTTCGCCAAACATAACTGATTTGAAATTGGAGTAAAAACGGGAACCATTGAATGTAAATCAGTTTATATACATTCATATTACAGTATTATATGCGTTGCGACCCAATTTTGTCAATTTCTAGGTCCCAAATGTTAGCAATTTAGCTCCTTTAAATATTAAATTTAGAATTCGATATGACATGCAACTATCCCTTAGTACATGTACCAGTACCTGAACTAAATTAACTAGATTTTGCACATACTGAGGGGAATTATTCTGTCTATGTCCATCATAAATGTATAGCAACACTAAGATACTAACCTAGTAAATATTTCCAGGATGTTTAGACTATACACAAACACTGAAAAAAAAAATATCAATGATGATTATATCTAGACAGTAATTCAAAAACATCATTTTCTGTAAATTCGGGTCAAGGAATAGATCTAATAGTGCCACATGTAGTTGATATGAATTTTAAAGATGACCAAACAGCACATCCAGTTGAAATGACTTTTAAAGGCAACCAAACAGCCATTAACCTCTGCTAGTAATTTGTAGTAATGGCTTTTCATTAATTTGTTACAAGCACTGGTAGTAGTGGTAGTCTCCTTCATGCTCACGAATGACTTAATTAATTAGTTCATTGGTAGGATAATAAATGTTTGCCCAGCAAGACAGTCATATTGACACTTAGTTTGATAGTTTAAGCACTCCGATCTTGTTTCATACAGTATCTTTTTTCTTTCTTTCTTTTATGGTAGTACGCAAATGTCAATAAAATTATTTACAAAGTAGAAAATATGTACCAAGAACCATGGCTCGAAATGATCGCCTGTCTACTTGTTGCTGACAGGCGATTTTTTCTTCTGACAGGTAGCAAGTAAAACAACTTGTCGCTTGCGACAGGTGGACTAAATTTTACTTGGTGTTCGGTAAATTGACTTAAGACCACAATACTCACGTCCACGTCGCATACATTTAAATATTCGTTTCTAAATGCAAGAATTAAGCACGGAAATACAGCGAAAAGCGCCATTTGCACTGTTTACATTTTGCTCTATCGCAGACAACAGTTACTCTCACATTTTGGAAGTAAACAATTTTATAACAATGAATTTCTCACAATCTACGCTTGTTTTCATCTGCTTGACACTAGTTTATAACATATTATGAAGTATTATATCTACATAAATTAAAACGCATGCTCTAGACACGACAGTGAATATAGTGTTCGCTGGAATGGAAATGCACACGGCTCATTGCCTGGTGTATTTAGAATCTAATCATTTAAAAAGTCTAAAACAATTTCCATAAATAAAGGCTATGAATAATTTATAAGACAATTTGACAAAATCAAATAATCAGGTCGGAAAAATATTTCATATATAAATATAATTTGTAGTGTAAATATAGACAGGATATGCAAGAAAGGAATACCAGGGGTCGTTACCTGTCCTCCGCACGCGGTACATGTAAATATGGTGTCATGCACAGGTGTGATTCGTGTTTTGATATTCTACGGATATTTTAAAATCTGAATTCTACACCTCAACGGCAAAGTATTCGATTTAGTACACAAGTTGTGGTACCATGATACTTGGCGGAATCGACGTGGATACGAATGATAGAATTGTACGAATCTTCCTCGAGTCGCCGAGCCAAAGCAGATTCGTCAGCTTTCAAGAACTTTTAGGCATTCCGATGCCGAAGAAATGAAAAGGTTTCATATTACGATATTTATATGGAGCAATGTATGTCAAGACCTAAACAATTTAAGAGTGTGTGTGTACCTATGTGTGAGTGATTGGTCTTTGATAATTGAGAATGACAGGTTATTTACTGAAGCAACCAAGCGACAGGTAGCTTTTTTAAAAACATTTCGAGGCCCGAGAACTGCATGGAAGCCATTAATTAAATTAATATCAATAACAACCCCCTCACCACCAGAAACAAAGTGCTTATCTATTTACATCTGCTATTTCAGTTTTGATCAAATTTTTAATTTCTACCCATAATATCAATTAAGTACCAGTATTCAATAATTTTGGGGAAAAAACCCCAGAACGTTACACTATTATTCCTGAGTTGTGGTTCAACAGACTTGGAAGAATCTGAGAAAAAAAAAACTCTTGTAATGTTATATTCACTTGCAATAGCAACATGGTTATAAATGTACTTAAATATAAAAAAAGCTGATTAAAATCATTAAGATTGTGTAGTTTTTCAGAATGTAATGAAACATTTTAATCATATTTAACCGTTCATCATTTTATCGGTCATCGGTTAAATGTCAAAATTACAAGTAAACATGCAATTTGTGTTCAATTTACATAATTAAATATATTTTGAATCCACATATGTGTTATAGATCCAAAAACCACAGGATGTTAGCTTATACCTTACACGGGACGAATCCTTCGAATATAATTAGTTCACATGGAAATCTCTCGAAAGATTTCGGAAAATAATTTCCATACTTCTAAGAACAGATTCTGCAATTGCACGCCATCTACTGGTGAAATCTTGCTTCCCGTTCAAACAGGAAGTGCACCATTGGTGAGATAACTCCAAATCCTTGGCTCGTGTTTCGTAACAAAGTCTCTTAAGAAATTCTAAATGGATTTGGACCTTAAAGATGAAAAACAAGCAAAAGAATATTTGGACAGACTTGGAATTGAGTACAGATTCCAGTGTTATCATGAGAATATTCCGGATGGTTAGTTGCGTGATCATGAATTCAAAGTTAGAGGTCAAGTCAAACCCCCCAGTGAGTGACATGTAGGCCTTTATCAGTTGCGTAACGATGTCTGATCGGACTCGTGCTCGCATCGGTAGGCCTACTGCCCCTCCCTAATATGTAACAGGAATTGCCTATGGTGGCTGATTGGTATCATGTTGTGATGTCGTTGTGTCGCCCTTCATAAGTCGACATCACGACATTATAACCCGACACAACGACAACCCAACATCACAACATTTTTAACCCGACACTACGACATTTTCACCCGACACCACGACATTAAGAATGTTGTAATGTCGCATAAAAATGTCTTATTGTCGCGTAAAAATGTTGTGATGTCGTGATGTCGAGTTGTCGACTTTATTTATCAATGTTGAAGCGGCCATGAATAATAGAGTGCTATCCCTTGCCGAGAACAAGTCAGCCCTCACTAGAATTATTTTCATTGACGTCAAAAATATATGACATCATTGATTAGACGCGTCACAGAAATAGTTCTATGAGGCGCGTAATCTCGCTTGGGCGAGATTTGGTAAATTGACATCCACGTTGCCTGTTTTGCCCAGTGTATCCGTCCGGTCTGAATTTTTTTTCAATTAACCACCGTGTGGGTGACAATTTCAGTTACACTCCTGTGTTACCGGAAAAGAGCTTTGCTCAAGCATCGCGCGAAATATTAACATGTAATATGAAAATAGGGCTTTACACCACTTCTGATCTAAGGCTATTTTCGAATTCGTACAAATTTGAAAATGTCAAATCTGACACAAATTTGAGAATATTCGGCGCAGTACATTGATCCGGCTACTCTAGGGTTAGGGTTAGTAGTAGGGGTTTCAGGTCACATGACTTTAGCGTGAAATTAGACAGCCAGCGGCTGAAATACAGCCCACTTCAATCTACGATTCTGAATTACTGTTTTATAACTTTTATGTAAATGTATAACTAGCAATTGCATTGTAATAGTTTAATATCAATCTCAATATCTGCAAAGATTACATTATATTGACGTAGATCTCGGATTTTAAAATTCCATAATTTTGGATCTAATTAGAATATTTTGATGAAATAAAAAAATTTGGGTAGCATTTTATGTATATTTTCACAAAATATTTAAAAAAAACCCTTTTTTCTGTCATTTGAAACTTTGACCTGAAACCCCTACACTAATAGAAATCTTCAAAGTTAGAAGACAAACACCAAGTGACATAAGTAGGCATTCATCAGGTACTTTAGATGTAACGATGTCTCATGTCTCATCAGTGCTGTCCCTCCCCATTAACATATAATATGAAAATAGCACTTTACACCACCTTGGATCGAAGGCTATTTTAGAATCTGCACCATCTATTTTTCACTGTGATTCTTCTTTGTTTGCCAAAAGGTATCATTTGACACAAAATTGAAAATGCGTTTAAAGCATTTATTCAGAGTCAGCAACCAGGGTCTTATTTAGACAAAAACAACAATACTGATGATGATGAAGATTCATATGAATCTGAAAGTGAAACAGATGACAGGTTATCAGATGATGTTCCAAATAAAATTGGAAACCCCAAAAAATGAGAATGAATGTAGTTCAGAAGAAAAATCAGGTCACAAACCCATCCCAAAACATAAACTTATGGTAGACGCTGATTATGTTCCTCCGGAAAGATTTTCAGAGGGAACAATAAAGGTCCTTTCCCAATAAAAGTACCATTTATTAACTCAAAGAAAACACAAACTCCAAATTCTGGACTAAAATGTTCTTATCAAGCAAGCACAGATAGTGTTAAAAAAGTATGGTTTACCGTATCCTGCACGTAAATGTAAACTAACGTCTAGTTCAGTTGAAAAGTTATCTGTATCTAAGTCATTATCTAAAGATATCAAATATAACCAGTTATTAAGTAAGGACCCTGTTGTCAACAAGAGTGTGATAGTCATTATTTTTGTGCCCAAGGTGAGGGTCTTTCTCGAAACAGTCTAGAGGCAGCTAAAAGTGTCTTTTCATCACCAGCTAATGCTTAAGTTGGTGAAAGTTGTTTAACTGATTCTAATTCTAGTGTTTCTTCTATGAGGTAAATACGGCCTACTCATATATTGAATTTCAACTGTCAAGGGATCTTTTACGTACATGCCAATGTGTACATGGGATCCGGTTTTTCATCCCATCCAAACGACTAGACAGCTGTCCTTGTCAGGCCCTCCGTCCTGTATCACTGACAAGGGAACCAATCCGGAAATTGAAGAAGAAAAAAAATAATATTAAATTAGATCATCAAGTATGTAGTCGGTTATATACTTATAAGGAATGTATGTTGAAGAAATGGTAGTTTCGAAATTTCTTTAAAATTGTGTACTGCCTTTGGCAGTGCACTTAAAATAAAAAGAGATTTTATTCTAGAAGGAAATAGTTCTTTATCGTTACATATAATCAAAAATCGTAATGCCTATAATGGAAAACACTATAAATTGATGAGTAGTTTACTACTTCAAAGCCAAATTTGCCCGTTTTGTCGAAAATACTGACACTAAATTTATTGTTAATTATATTAATATCCAGGTCCGGAACAGATGCATTTATAGTGCCAGAATTTTCTTTATTTAATATTAGTTCTGGGGGATATATTTCACTTTTATATTTGTTATCATTGATAGGTGTTATGTCATCAATGTATCGGAAGGTATAGTTTAGACTTTTAGCTACTTTGTAACGAAAGAAAAGCTGACCATGACTCACCGCTCATGTTATCCATGACGAGAACAATGCCAGTTATAATTATTATAAATGTAGAATGGGACGAAATAACGAATAGTGGGGGGGCTAAAGCCCCCGCACCCCCACCCCCCCTGTTCCGCGGCCCCTGTTATGTACCTGAATTTTACTAGGTTTTTATTGAATTTAGGTATAGAATGAATATAAGGTAGTGCATATTTTAACATTATCTTTAATATCATTGCGCCTGTTGAAAGTATATTGATTATGTAAAATATCTATTATAGTTAAATCTGTAATGCATTTGTAAGTGTCATTTTTATACGCCCACATAGAGGTCACAATTTTCTTCTGATTTTGATGAAACTTGAAATGTAAATTTATAACCAAAAGATCTTGGTTCCTTTAATAAATTGCGCATATCGGCCCGGAACTTCCTGAATTATGGCCCCTGATTGTAATAAAAATCGCGTTTTTAGCTTGTAGACCCTATAGTGGTCATAATATTTATGCAATTTAAAAAAAGTTTGAATATATCACCGTTTCACCCTAAGGATGGTTGAGTTCGAATTTCGTAAAAATCGGACCAAAACTGACAGACAAAATGGCCGCTCCTCGTACTCAAATAGCGTAAAAATATGATATATCATGGTTGTGGACTCTCTAGAGGTCACAATTTTCTTCTGATTTTGATGAAACTTGAAATGAAGGTTTATAACCCAAAGATCTCGGTTCATTTCGATATTTGCACATATCGGACGGTAACTTCCGGAATTATGGCCCCTGATTGTACGAAAAATCACAATTATTATCTGATTTAAAAAAACGTTCGAATATGTCACCGTTACACCGTATTGTTGGTTTAGTGTGAATTTTATGAAAATCGGACCCAAACTGCCAGACAAAATGGCCGCCCGTCTATGCAAATAGTGTAAAGATCTGGTATATCAAGGTTGTCAACCCTCTAGAGCTAACAATTTTGATCCAATTTGGATGAAACTTGAAATACATGTTTATAACCCAAAGATCTCGGTTCCTTCAATATTCGCGCATATTGGATCATAACTTCCTGAATTATGGCCCCTGATTGTACAAAAAATCGCTTTTTATACGCCATAACTTTCTGGATTATTGCCCCTGATTGTACAAAAAAATTGTGTTTGTTTTTAGCTTGTTCTCTATCCATCTCTTGCAAAATGTGGGCGTATCCTGCCTGACAGCCGCTGGTTAAATCTATCATTGAGACCATATTATGGGAAAATGGTCTCTAAGTTTCCTCATAGTGAGTTCTTTTTTGTGTTACAGCAGGATCAATCTTGCCATTTGTGAGGTGGCCTGAGCTGGAACGTTTTTGAAATACTCTATATCCAAAGTCCTTACAGGGATTTTGCTTAAAATGTTGATACAGCAGTTTGTGTGCATTTTTAGAATTTCCTGCAGATCTATGATTATTAAACCTTGTTCCTAAAACAAAACTAAAAGTTTCTGTGCTACAGCACCTCGCTTTTGGAATCAGTTACCAGTAAACATTGGAGAATCTCAAACTTTCACAATCTTTAAGTCACAATTAAAAACTCATTTGTTTAAACTCTATTATTCGGATTAGAAACAGATTGTTTATGTGCATTTTTATTGAAGAGAGACTCCTTAAATGTTGCGCTTTGAACACGTGTATATGGATTGAAGTGCATTACAAATATTCATTATTATTATTATATGGTGGTGCAGTGAGTAAGTTGTTGGCTCGCTAATCTGGAGGCCCTGTGTTTGATCCCAGTGCAGAACAGTAGGACTTTAAACCCCATTTCATTTCAAATGTGAAATATAACTGGCTTGACATAATTTTAAGAAAGTGTCTGGATATCAATGGTGTATATTGTATTATCCACACTACTGACTGAATTGACACTTGTTGGGTTCTGCTTACGGCATTGGACAATCAAAATCTGATTACACTCATGGGTTGGTATCCGAAATAGTGCAGTTGGGCGTGCAAGTCAATTAAATAGCTAAATAAACCTAAAAAAGTTTTAAGTACTTATGCAGTGCATGCCTAATATCAGATACCTGTATTGTACATTGTATATTGTTTTTTCAGGGTGTCATAGACTTGCAGACTTCCTAGAAGGTATGAGAAAAGAATTTGAGAAAGCTGGTAAAGTTTACAAAACAAATTGTGATCAAAATAAACATAATCAAAGTTGTTTTAAATATGGTGTTTACAGCTTGACAGGTAAAGGGGGTTAGTATATTTATTTCATCATTAAACTTACAACTGGTAAGGTGACAGGAAGAGGCAATATGATGTACCTTTTATTATACAGTAGAATCTGTACGAGCAGCCACTCCTATTCAGCGGGGTGGGTGGATGTCCGAATGGTTAGCACGTGCACGCTGTATTATACGGTCTGTCTTTGAGTCAACTGGCGGGGTTTTGATTTCCTGGTTGTACGTGACAAGGAGTAGGGTCGCCTGTCCAACCTCGTGGGTTTTCTCCGGGTCCTCCGGTTTCCTCCCACTGCTAAAGACCCTAATGCGCAAGCGAATTATTGAAATAAAAATTAAACCATATGTTAGTCCCGAAATGACCTAGTTTGTGTGGAGTGGACGTTAAACCCCATTTTTCTCTCTTTCTCTCTCTCTCTCTCTCTCTCCTATATAGCGACATCTCCTTGTAAGCGGTCACGATGTTTGTTTGTTTTTTGTTTGTTAGTTAGTTGTATTTTACGTCCGCTTCCACTGAGGTGATATCGCAGACAATAATATGTTATGTATACAAGGTGCTATAATTTAGGATAAATTCCCCCCGTAGAAATTCCATTGTTTCATCTCTTTAATCAACGGCCACTCCTCTAACGCGGCCAGCGGTCACTATTTTACTAATAAATTTAACAAAACATCACCAATTCAACGGCCATTGTTGATTGATGCCATCTTGTCGTACTTCGTAGCCACTCCGCTAATCCTATGATAAATAGTTAATTAACTGGTCCCCCACCGATCACTTAAAAAGAACTGTGAAAATAACAATAAACCTGGGATTATCTGTTAATTAATCCTTTGTTTTATTAAACGACAAACCCGATCTGCTGATCATTGTTTTCACACCTAATGAGAAACATTATTTGTTACTGATTGAATAAACTAAAAGTACCGTTAAAGCCGAGTTTTGTCACGATCATCCAGTATCTATTTTCCATTGCCACTGTGTTGCTACACAGAAGTTTTAGCGCCCCTATATTACTTACAGAGTTACACCCCCTGAAAATCAGTGACAAATTCAGCGTGTTTTTTTCGACATGTGCTTTTTCGATAAAATAAAATTAATTCATGGTTTTTCTTCACAAAAATGGATAAATATTATCGAATACATCACAATGGTAGACAGTAGTTTCAATGTTGGTACAAAATGACACGTTTACAGAAGTTATATCAGAGATCTGAGTCAAAGGATTTTCCTTCCAAGCAAGTTTCAGCGACGGCCAAATTTACTGATGCAAGTATTCATGTTTGCTCCCAATTGCATCCAAGCGTAAAATTTACTTGATGTCAGCATTAACAAACACTGATATTTTATTAAGTGGTCACTCCCGTTAAGCGGTCAGTCATGCAAATTCCCTGTTTAATACAGATTCTACTGTACTGGTACTTTAATCAGAGCCTTAATTATTTACATTTCTAAAGATGCATTAGTGACCTTCCTACATCTTGTTGTACAAATGTTGGAAGTTATGTCACAAACAATACTAGCTATCAGTATCATGTGTAAGACGCAGGACCTGGTCATGTACCTAGGAAAAACCTAAGTACCATGTACATGTTGGTATGTACTTGCAGTTCAATAAAGAGTAGACAGAAAAGCAACTTTCTGGGGAAAATTATCCTCATGCCCGTCTTCCTTAACCCAGTTGGTGAAGTAATGTAGATGTTTATTTTCCATTGCTTGACAAAAGTCCCAGTTATGTTTTGATGAAAAGCTCTCATGTAAAATATCATTTTATTTTATTTAATTTCAGGAGTTGAAACTGATGCAGAAAAGGCGCTTGAATACTTTACAAATGCTTGTAATTTGGACTATAGCCCAGCTTGTCATAATGCTGGCTTGATACATGCTAGTAAGAAACTGAACACAAAATATGATATGTCAAAAGCCGTGGAGTATTTTGAAAATGCTTGTTCAAAGAACAGTGTATCTAGTTGTTATCAGCTCAGTGGTATTTATATTCAAGGACGGGACGAAATGGAAAAAGACCTGAAAAAAGCATATGACTATTCATTAAAGGCCTGCAAATTAGGCCATGTATATTCTTGTTCAAATCTCAGTCAAATGTATAAAAAGGGAGAAGGCGTTGAGAAGGACGAAAAATTAGCTGAAAAATATAAAAAACGTACCAAAGAATTAATTGATGCTGCGAAACAAGGGCGAAGAATAGTTCTGAATGAATGACATTATGAAAAGATATTTGGTTTTACAAAAATTATAAATACATTGAAGATAGTGTATGCAAATTGTATCTAATAAATTATTTGTGATAGTTTTATATTGTATTTTAGATATGTTTGTAAATTGATAGTATATTTTTGGGATAATACATCCGGATGTATTATAGTTCATTGTGAGAAAACATATTTCAGTTTTTAAAGACTGTTGAACATAAATGTTTATTGAAGTGTATTTTATGGTCTTAAAGGACAATATTGGTGTCAGTCATTATCACATATGTGATAGAACTGGTTAAACACGTTCCAAATATAATTTTAACACAGAGATCATTGCTACGATAGATATGTTATGAAGCTTTCAAGAAAGGGAAGTGACAAACGCAAAAGAAAAACATGAGTTATCCTTCTATATAACTGACTGAAGCGACAGTGATAACAGATACGCACTGGCTAATTTCTGCTCACTAATAATTCCTTCGAAGACCAAAAGTTGTTATGTGAGACTGTGTGAGGATATCTGATAATTCAAAAAAGTAATTGAATGTCACTAGATCGGGGAAAACGAGAAAAATAGAAACAGTCCGTACATTCCCTTGTTTTTATTCATTCTACACTTCTATAAAAAATAGAAAAATCCCATGCATTACCATGTTTTTATTAAAAATAGAATTGGCTGTCACTAGATAAGTGACAGTCAATTATTTTATTGAACCATATAACAACTTTTGGTCTTCGAATGTATTATTAGTGAGCAGAAATTCGCCCGTGTATCTGTTATCACTCGTGTTAGTTATATAGAAAGATAACTCATGGTTTCCTTTTGCGTTCGTCACTTCCTTTTCTTGAAAGCTTCATAACGTATCTATCGTAGCAATGATCTCTGTGTTAACTCTTAGAACCCGAAATGCCGCAAAACCAGCTTTGACGTTGTAGCGCATATACCGAAATGTCGGTTTTGCGGCTTGTGGGCGTGTCTTCTGACATGCTTCCTTTACAATAACAAAATAGCCAATCAAAACGCTGTTTACCGTTTGACCCGGGTCTGTTGTACATAGTGACTTCCTTCCACTTGTTTACATTTTGATTTTGCCAAATCTTTCGACAAATCGTGTGTTCTAAACAACTAAATGCGACTGGTGCGATAGCTCTTATAACGAGCAATAATGGCAAAGATATTGATGGGTCGTATTACGGCAATGGATGCGATTTTAAAAGTGAATATGCCCTAGATTCAGACGAAAATAACAAAGAAAATGACAGTGATGATAACACTCGTACTCGTAATCAATTTGTATTAATTTGTAAATAATGTTTATCTACATGGCTGGGGATAGAAATATTGGAATAGGGCGTGGTCGCGATATTAGCAGAGTTCTAAAACTGTTTGCATGATTGGCACTCCAATGTTGTGGATTGGAGATAAAATTGAATAAAAGTTAAATTTTCTGGTTAAATATCTCTGTTCCATCATTTCACACAATTATAAACACATATAATATTAAATTCACACCTAGCATGTAGTTCCAATTAAAATGACGTCATTTTTGCAAAATCGTGCTGTAAAGTCAGGGTAGTGTATGCGTCAATTATATTTGGAACGTGTTTAACCAGTTCTATCACATGTGTGATAATGACTTCCACCAATATTGTCCTTTAAAGATACATTCCTGCGTACAAACTGGGTGATTTAATGGTATATATGGACTAAAAACACATTCAAACTAATTAATTTGTCATAATTTTGCTTTAAATCCTTTTCAAACATTGTAATTGTGAAGGAATGCCCTGCTATAAAAATTCGATCAAACCAGGTCATGTTTACATCATGTGGCTTACCTCTCTTGGAAGTCAGAGGAGAATTCATTGTATACATAAGACGATGTTGTCTTTAATTGCTTACTATTTATTACAAATATCGAATCCTAATTAAATTCTCGGATTATCCACTACCCGCTTCTTTTTCCGTCATTTTTATCTCATAAAGTGTTGTATGTCTAACTCTTCATAAAGTTTATCAACTTGTACATCAAGCGCTCAATGTTCGCGTGTGACCTTTGACATCACGCGTGCAGAAATTCCTAATCTTCGGGCTGTCGATTAGGGGAACCCTTACATTTTTGTCCTGTATACGCTTCATGAGTGTTTTTCGGGGAATCCAGTATTTTTCTAGTAAGATTGGATATCTCTACTTTCCATATATACCAAAATATACAAAGAGCGGCCAGTTTGTCGGGCAGTTTCATTTCGATTTTCCCGAAATTCCAATTCAACCTTCATTATGGTGAAGTGGTGATATATCTAAACGGTTTTTAAAATCGTAAAAAAAATTGTGACCTCTAGAGAATCCACAAGCTAAAAATGTGATTTTTCGACCAATCAGGGGCCCAATCCTGGAAGTTACGTTCGGATATGTGGGATTATTAAAAGGAACCAAGATCTTTATGATAAAAACATATATTTTAAGTTTTATCCAAATCGGATAAAAACTGTGGCCTCTAGAGGGTCCACAACCTTCGATATACCATATTTTTACACTATTTGCGTACAAGGGGTGGCCATTATGTCCGTCAGTTTTTGTCCAATTTTTATGAAATTCGAACTCAACCATCATTAGTGTATAACTGTGATATTCACACGTTTTTTGTTTAAATTGGTTAAAAATTGTGACCTCTAGAGGGACCACAAGCTAAAAGCGCAATTTTTTGTACAATCAGGGTCCATAATTCAGGAAGTTACGATCTGATATGCGCTGATATCGACAGGATCCAAGATCTTTGGGATATAAACATGCATTCCAAGTTTCATCAAAATCGGATAAGAATTATGACCTCTAGAGGGTCCACAACCTTGATATACCATATTTTACACTATTTGAGTACAAAGGGCGGCCATTTTGTCCGGCAGTTTTGGTCCGATTTTCACGAAATTCGAATTCAACCGTCATTAGAGTGTAACGGTGATATACTAAAACGGTATTTTAAATCAAATAAAAATTGTGACCTTTAGAGCAGTGATTCTCAACCAGTGTGCCGCGAGACGAAAATGCTAAAAACCACGTGATCGCAATTGAGTATTCACAGGTGTGTACTAAGAAGTTTATAGCTGTGTATTTCCTTATTTAATTGTATGCCGTCTGACTTACCGTGTTTTTATTTTGTAAAATTTAAATATTTTTCATATATATTTAGCCAGGTGTGCCGCTATTTTTTCATGTGTTTCAAGGTGTGCCGTTGGCAAAAAAGGTTGAGAACCAGTGAACTGCGGGGTGGTACTTTTTACCGCCGATCACCGCCGACTACCGCCGACCAATACTTTTACCGCCGACCGTCGTGAAATTACTGCCGACCAAATACTTTTTACCGCCGACCGCATTGTAATGACTTTCGACCGTAATATAATTACCGCCGACCAAATACTTGTTACCGCCGACCAAATGCTTAATGATTCCTTGTTACCGCCGACTATATAAAATTAATTAAATTATTAGTGACAAATAAATAGATTTGGTTAAATACACAAAATAAAGTGGGACTTAATGCTAGTGAGCGATCCCAAATTGTAGGTAAGTTCTTTGGAACTGAAGGACTTGCGTGTGCAAACGACACGATAGACTTTGAAAGAAGAAAGCATGACATCTCAACCGTGTACGAAAAATACCCAGACCTAACTTCAACTTCAACTTTTTATTTGCATATTACGTCCATTAAGAACATTATACAAAACATACGCATACATCAATATCAGGTATACAAAAATATATATTTAACATGGAATAATATATATTGGAATAACATGATATAATGAAATGAAAATGAATGTACCATTGGGATGATATAATGAAATAAATATAACAATGAAAGTATAACAATGAAATGAAAATATGTTCAAAGTATACATGTATAATGATCAAATAGACTAGGCAGGTGCCCCCCTTTCCTTAAAAGCATGATATGTATACATTGCTACTGCTTTAGCAAAAAAATCTGGCGGATTAAAAAGAAGCTCAAAGGTTAATTGACAAGATTGTATTAAAGTAGGGTAGATATATACTATTCAAAAAAAGTCACTATAGAACCTAACAGAAGAAACATTTCCAGTTACATGTGACGCCCAAACGCACCAATAGCTACCGCATGGAATGCAGGTGATGCTTGGGATCATCATGGGGGTCCAACCCAAGATTTGCACGACTCTGACTTTGAATGTTACAGTCATTGTGGCATTGAATTCCAGGGTGGAAACATCAGTTTAATTGTTTAAGTGACCAGAAAACAAATTTTGATATGCGTCGGCTTACCCAAAATGAAAGGTTACGTGCCCTTGGCATGCTACAGATCGGCACAACACAGGCGGTTGTGGCGCGGACGATGAATGTTTCTCAGTCTGTCATAAGCAGGCTATGGTCCAGATACCGTGATACACAATCTGTACAGGACAGACCACGCTCAGGTCGACCAAGGGCGACAACTCAAGCCCAGGATCGATTTATCCGTACCTTGGCCTTGAGAAATCGTGTCATCACAGCAAATCAGATCAGCGCTCGTCTTCAAACAGACACTGGTGTGAGAGTGAGTGGCCAGACGATTCGGAATCGACTGCATAGGGGTCACCTTCGCGCCCGACGTCCTCGCGTGATCCCTTGTTTGAGAGATCATCACATTCAGGCAAGACGTCGTTGGTGTAGGGATCGCCAACACTGGGATAATCGACGCTGGAGCAATGTGATGTTTTCAGATGAGTCAAGGTTCACTGTTGATTTTTTGGACAGACGTAGGAGGGTGTGGCGTCGTCGAAACGAGCGCTTCCAAGACGTTAACGTCATCAGACATGATCGATTTGGGGGTGGTTCTGTTATCGTGTGGGGAGGCATCACTGTTGCTGGAAGAACGGCTTTACATGTTGTTGCAGGGCGTGTTACAGGCCAGTACTACCGGGACAACATCTTGGCAGTCCATGTTGTGCCTTTCGCACGACGTCATGGCCGCCGTTTCATCTTCCAGGATGACAACGCAAGATGTCACAGGGACAGGATCGTTACAGGTTACCTCCAACAACAGAACATCACCACATTACCACATTACCTTGGCCAGCACTGAGT